TCAGGAGATCAAGTCAATTGATACGGCTGTGTCATTAGAAGTGCAAGTAAAATTCAAAACAAATACGGAACTGGAACAGATCAGACAATAATAAAATCTGTCGCAAAAATAAGTTGGAAAGCGACGTCAATCAAGTCGTCGCGACTCAGCATTCAAGCTATCAGGCAAGCCTGTTTAGAGACCACGCTGTTTCCCTGGAAGAGGACCTCAATGTAAACTTCAAGTTGCCTTACACAAGTAAACTCGAAAAAACTCGCTAAAATTTGTTGACGCCGCAATAGTGAACAATCTAAATGTTAGCCGCTGTTGAGTAAAAAAGACACAAAGCCGAGCTGAAGTACTGGCCAGCCTAAGCGATGCCTGGAAAGTGAAACTAAGCTACTTCCCTGTAAATGCTACTAACTAGGAACATTGAGCGGATAGACACACGACATTTCTTCCAATGCATGGAAGTAATGCTAACGCTGTGCCGACTCTAAGAGGAGAAGGGTTAAGGGGTCTTCGAGTCTGATGCGTTTGCGAGTCAGCCACACTAGGCAGTACGTATTCCCGAAACTTTGCAAAAATCAGTGGCTAAATCGTGGGCTGGCATCCACCTCCACTGAGGGAAAATATTCACGATCAAGAGGTAATGCTCTAAGTTTGGTGTGATTTAAAAGAAGTTTTATATTATGAGCCGTTTAAACCAGGCGAGCTTTGTTGGAATTTCAAGTAAAAAATTGACAAAAACGGTGTTGAGTATATTGCAACGTGAAAATGTCGTATGCCATGTGGCAAAGGTAGGCCGAACTAAAAATAATCTAGGTCGCTATTTACACGATGCCATAGGTGGCGCACAGCCTATGCATTGCGCTTTGAAATTATCCCCATTTATTCAGACCCATTCACCTAGTAAGCGAATGGTCCAAAACGGAGCCGGAAGTCCGTCAATGTTCATCGTTATCGAAATGATGGATAAGAGTCAGATAAAAGGAGAGGTTATGAACAGGCCTTATATTTTGCCGGTAGATGTTTGTCTTAACGGCATATATACATACAGGTCCTTTTTTAGGGCGACACTCGTAAATACGTACCACCTATCGAGTCGCAATCAATAATAATAATATGAATTATTCATATTTGTCATAACGGGAGAACTAAATGAAACGTTCGTCTTGAGCATAATCGAAAACCTTAGCATTACAATGATATGTTGTGCCTACATTTTCATTGTACTAAATAATATGCCTGGCATAGTTACCATACATCATCATACTGCAATGCCTGTTGTGAGAAGAACAAACTCTTACATTTAAAAGACGGATTTGCCATTAGGGGCAGCGCGCACAGGATGAACGGCAGCTTTTTGATCTACTGTCGAGTGAAAGTCGAGTGCTCCTTAAAGGTGTCGACTTTGGATTAACAACGTTTGATGCTCAAGTTGCTTCTGCGCAGGAGGAAACCGCTAAAATCAAATGAGGAGTGCACGATTTCAATGTCGTATAAAAAAAAAAAGTATCGCACAAGGCGTGTTGACTCTCTACATCTCAAATTTTACGTCCGGTACCGCCATTAAGCGTTCGATCAAACAGCTGACTCCCACGACGAAACGCAATATGTCTATACCCGGGTTCAATCCTATGCGACGACATGTCACTAAGATTAGCACATAAATACCTTACACACTAAGCTATTACGGGGAAGCGGCGTATGTACTATTTTAATATTGCTTCGATTAATGATTCTCTTACCTTTTGCAATTTTCGATCTTTTCGAAATAGTTCTTCGAAGCATTGCTTTTAGGAAAAAAAAATCCAGGTATCACTGATTTGTGATAGGTTCTGATGTAGCCCGGCCATTTCGAGTGAAATTTCTGTTCTCCACTGAATAAAAAAAACTTTTAAACACCGCTGAGTTGACCTGTTTTATGACGGATTACAAAATTATGTATGTATTACCACAACTTTTAGGCGGCACGATTTGTCTTCAACCATATTTTTTCGAACAGTGATATCCCTAAATCACGAACGTAACAAGTTCTTATCGCAGGTGTCCATTTAGTTGTATTTATATGTAGCATTCGATGACTGCATATCCTAAAACAAAGGTTTGCTTAACATTTACATATTGGAGTACTATGTATTTCTATAGCTACAAAGCATACTTTATTTCGTATAGGTAGCACCTTTTTTTTGGTCTTCTTGTGCAGCGTTTTCCCAACCTTTTTTTGTAAAGCAAGGTCCAGTTTTTTTCAGCAGAAAACGCTAATATGTGACCCCGGATTTATTTTTAACGTTTGTTAGGATAGTCAAGACCTAAAACAAGGAAATTCTTAAGTTCGTACCTACAGTAATGTAGAAGTAACATGTTTGCTTATAAACTGAAAAAACACAGCGGTGGCCGTCGATACACTTCGATTCTCCGAAAAAGGCCCGAACAGCAGTAAACAAAACGATGATGAATATAGCCTTTATGCCTTCTGCTCTCTAAATTGTGCCCCATGCATTAAGTTCTTCGTTTTATTCTACTCCGATCACAAGCAATGCTAAATGGCGAAGGCCGAACTCTACGGATCCATGGAAGTTGTTTTGAATTCCTCGAACCCGGGCGACTATGCGTATTGTTGTATTATTGCAGGAAAGCACCACGACGCGTCTTTCAAGTAGATCGAAGGCCAACTCCAAATACGATGATAAAAAAATGTGCACATTTTTCAAAATAGTTGATTTTTTTCTTATTTATAGGTAATACAGAATGTTTGCAATAGAGAACCCAATCGTTTGGTCAGGTTTTGCCGTCGCCAGCAGAGCGTTAGCGATGCGAGCTACCGACAAGGACTCCCATTTTCGAAATTTTTCGAAATTAATAATAATAATTTTTCGAAAATAGAATCAAAACTGTTTGATTTGTCGGCAAAAAACAATAATACAGGCCTTTATGTAAAAAAATTCGCGCTCTTTTTTGAAGTCAAACTGGATGACATCGAATCAAATATGTTTGTTCTGCCTGTGGAATCACAACTAAGGCTTAATTACGAATTTTTTTTCTGGCAAATGCTTTTCGCTTAGGGTGGCTTTTCTTACCTGACAGTGAACGGCAATTGTAAATTATTGATAAAGATAATATGATTAGCATAGCCTTAGAGTTTTGTTAGATTCAACTTTTTTAGATGTAATGAAAAATTATTTTTAGCCATTAGGAAGTTGGAGAGCGGCCCTATCATCAGCTAGCCGATAACAAAAAAACGTGTATCTATCGACGGGGGTCGGCGTTAGCTTTATCCTGGTACCGAGCCGGTTCCAGTTAGTTATTCGTATCGGACAAAAGGTGAATTATTGTCATTACAATCAAATGAGGCAACACCTCTGAGTGAAATAAAGTTCCGTCGCAGACAAACAAGAATTCAACGACTGCATAACGAGTCTCAACGAAGTCTGCTCTACACCGCCAGAAAGCATTATCTATTTGTCGAATCTCTTGTTGCTTATTATTGAACTATTATTCCTGTTGCGCTTAATCTTCGAGAGGAAAAAGGAAACAACTTTTTTCCTCTGAGAGTGAACAAAAACAAAATAGAAAATATCGATTTTTTTTAAATTGGAAGTCAAGGGCACTTTATTTCTACATCATAATATACGCTCAGAAATCTACTTGACTAATGTGGCGAACATAATTTGTCGCTTTCTATTAGACGTGAAAGAAGTATTGACTACCGTGTGTCTAGAGCGAGTGTATTTTGTGTGTATACGATAGCAGGGCCGTGTGATTGTCGCGGCTACTTTTTGAATACCGAGATGCCGACGGTAAAGGATTGCAGTGCCGTACATGAGCTTCAACAGGGGCAACCTGATATTGTCTACCGGATACACAAGTCAAGAAACATTGTTACTAACCCAAAATATTTTTCCAATTTTTAATCATAAAAATGAGCTTTTCCAGGCGGGCCAGCTTTACATACCAGAAACTATCAAAACAGTTTTGCCGCATATATAATATACACTAATTATATAGATCAGGATATAATTCGGTAATATGGAAAACAGTACAATAAATCACGTGGCTTATTTTCGGTGTGGTTCGGCGATAACGTATTCACTTGCCAAAATATAGGCGTATGCACGGAGCCGATATCTATTTATTAGGTAGGCTTGGCCTACTTAACGAGGAAACACCTCAATAAAAAACATCCGCCTTAGACAGCTACTTTTCCCATTCGAAAGTGCAAAAAGCCACCCTGAACAAGTAACAGTGATTTGTATCTGTTGAACAGTAACAGGCAGTTTAAGGGATATTTTTCCAGTGATCATGCACCTTGTTAACAAGCGGCGACACTGTCAGACAGACCTCGTCGTGAAAGGTCGCGACCAAACTGAAACAATGTTACTTAGAGAAGACGTATCTACCCAGTAGCCGAATACTATCTTCATAATCATGCCGCGTTGATCACGGCTATTGTTTTTCCAATAAGAATATTTCGGGTGAGCTTTCTTATATAGTTTCCAGACCATACGCGGCCAAAGATGCATGCTAGAATAGCGAATACACACGGCAAACTTGCAAGCACCCGTATCTCCGTTCTCTGCTTATCTTTTTGTAAATTACTCAGTGGTTCACTAACCGTTAACATTGAACTATGCTTGATTGCAACAAAGGCGCGAGAGTTTTCAGACGGCAATTTTAGCGGTCGCACTATGGTAAAACTATCGTTATTGCTAAAATCACAATCCGTCTTCTGCGCACTCTAATTACTATATTTGAAATGTAACACATTATCATATAGTAAGTAGTAAGCATGTTATATATAGTTTCAGAATTTTCATAATCCGCATGTTTTGAAAGCTAGTAAGATTTTTCATAGCATACCCTTCTGATTATCGAACTGTAAACACATAACGGATGTGTCATTTTAATTACGACCAAACCTATGTTTCGTTCGCGATCAACTGGAACGCCTCCGCCTTGGCGTCCGCACTGCTATCATGAGCGTCGTCATCACCAATCCCCGCACAGGAGCTCGTGTACAGCCTGGCAGCAGCCGTATTAGACAGTATAATCCTAGGCGCCCGATTATGCGACAAGCTGCCTGATGCGTGGAACCGGTCATCCCCCGAAGTAAGTCGAGATTTACTTCGTCCGTTCCGTTAACCGCTCTCACACACAGTGTCTTTCATCGCGCTGTTTGTCCACATAATTTAACGTGGCACTCTAGTTGATACGGATTATAGTTCCGCTAATGTAGGGATTATGATACGATTGAGGATTATCAATACCTGCATAAGTTGGTTGACCACTAAATGGAAAAAGAGAAATCTAAGCAGCCTTGTGCTTTAAACAAAAGAACTCCCCGCTTAGAAAGAAGACTTCAGCAGGTGCAGGAGGTCATTTTTGTTTCAGTTGGTCCTAGCTGAGAAATTATTCTTCCCGACTATAGCTTTCTCTTCACAGTAATTGTCAAGTTACACTTTTGTCGACAATGTACTAATTATGATACTGCCGTGCAAAAACCATTCTCGTATGGAGACTGGTGCAGTAGCAAGTTGAAATTAACTTATGTTATTGTACAGAGTTCAATGAGCTTGTGTGATAAACCTCATGGAACGAGAAAATACGACCTTTGTTGTCGTGCATCTCACAGCTGTTTTATAACGACAGTTTTGGCCTAATTCAACGTTACAAATTTTCTCTGTCTGACTTTTTTTCTGCCAATATCTTTCCAAATCAACACGTTCGCTATGAATGAAAGTACCTGTTATTACAAGCGCTTGTATGTATTTTTATATACAATAACTCGTTAAATAGGATATTGCCTTGCCAAATCAACGATCAACTTCTGATCAGCTCTCTTTCGGCGTCGTAAAAATGTTATGTTGAAAGATGACCCTGACACTCAAAATATAAGTGCCGCAGGGTCGCAACGTTGCATACTAATGATGTTGGCTTCGACGGTTTCTACAACTTAATTCTTTTATATCAAACACTTGATTGATTGGTAACAAATCAGTGTGTCACTTAGAAAGTTTAAGTAGGACCCATGGACCATATTTGAATGCAGTAGATTAGGATTTCAGCTGAATAAACGATGCTCCGCATGTGGATCGTTTTAATTTCTAAATTTAAAGAAAACGATTTAATGTGTTTTTCCTTCGCATATACGATTGTCTCCTTCCACTATGTCGTTATGCCATTATGTGCCGCAGCTCAAATTTAGAAAAGGCTTATCTAATTCTCGAGCGCACGAAGAGAAACGAGATAGGTGACTGAAGCTATCATTTTTGCTGACGAGCAAAGAATAATGCCATCTAAATAATTTAGTGAATAAATATCAATTGCTTAAAATAGTAACAAATAAATATAATAGTAATGGTTTAATGTGGGCACACCCATATGCTTTACCACTCGTATACCTAGCCACTATCGGGTGAATTTATTCATTAACTGCTAAGTAACCACCAAACCCACAAATGAATAGGTCAATTGTCCCGTTGTAGTTAATTATTTCAGCCAGGTGTCGTATCTGACGAAGTTTTTTTATTATAGACAAAGGCATCATGATCAAACGCTTACTTGAAAAGCTCGGACGCGGATGCAACACAAACGTCAATACGACTTTTTAAATGGCTGCTAGCAATGAGTCGCTGTTAGGACGGCCTAACAAACCGGATATAATTGCAAAGGTACGTTTGCCATACAATCAAATGAAACAGTTGAGTGATGCGAAAACTGGCAAAGGTGGATACCATATATAGATATACTATAGAAAAAAATATGGTCACATATACTTGCTGGCTCTATGCCCCAGCGACCGTTTTCAAATTTTAAATAAAGAGCAAAAGATAAAAGAGGTTGCTTTGCATTTCGTAGGGACCAACCCATTTTGTTTATAAGCTAGAGCTGAGAAACCCTTTAGAAAAAAAGATGAGTTACGCAAAAGGTTTTCATTTTAGTCCTCATAGATGAACATTTATAGGCTTAGTTTGAGAAATGCGATATAAATATCACAAATAGAGGTTACGTTTTTATCAAACAGTTAGTTTTTTTAATTCGGTCTCCGAAATCTATTTGCAATGGCTCCGGAAAGCATTCACTCACGCTGCTATCTTTAATCCTCTTTTTAGATGCGTTTTTCTTCGTTTCAAAACTTCACGTATTTTATGTACTTAATGAAAAATTATATTATCCGTATTATTTATTTTGTTATCCCATATTTATGAGTCACTTGAACTAGAGTTTTCTACTTTGAGCTACTACTAAGCTCAATGAAAGCTAAAGTATCCTAATCTCTAATATCAAAATTATTTCGATTGACTCGAATCAGGAGAATGGCGACGCCTTGGTTTTGCCAGACGCAGATCCGGAGGACAGATCGAAGAGTTCCCCTACCAGTGACTCTTGGTGGCCTAAAGAATATAAAACGAAGAGCAAGGTAGCATGCGTACGGTAAAAATTATGGCATACGGCCAGGATGTCAAACACACAAACAGGTTGTCAGTTTCACTGCTAAAAATAAACTAATGCCAAAAAACACCGCATTGGCAGGAGGGAAAGCTTAATAAAAACGAGAATATCGGAACAACGAGCCGATTTAACATCAGCAGAACTTCCAATTCTATCAGGACCGCACGTTTTTTTTTCTTTGATCAGACAAGAATCCTTTCAAAAAGTACGCATAAAATAAACAAAACGTGAATATATATGTGTATATATATACATATATATGTGAATATATATGTGAATGTGAAACAAGTCCGAAGTCACCCATTTACGGCTCTAGAGGCTTCTAGATGGCCTTGAATTGCCGAAAATAAGCAGCAGAAGTGCTACCTAGATGTAGGACTATTCAGCAACCATGGCTATCTAGCGAGAAAAAGCAAGCACCAAGGAACAGTGCGTGTGCCAGATTTATTCAATACCTTGAAGACGTAGCTGCCGTAGCTGAAAGGTTTGTCGTTTTCTAACTCTAATTGGTTAAACGATAGTATTGAGCGTATTTGAGCTATATTCAGTATTTTATTTAGAAACTAGGAGATTATAGTTTTGATCAGGCGCAATTCAAAACAACGTTCAAACTTCGGCTTAACTGAACAGCGGATTTTATCGATCTATTGCATTTCCTATAATTATCCGAGATAACCTATTACTGAATGTTACAACAGGCATTCATATTGCAAAAACTATTATTTACTTGTTTATATAGTTCGAGTCTAATTTAGCGGACTAAGGCTCATCATGGTAAATTAACAATATGACAATTTAAGCCTTTGGTCAGTTTCTCATATTGGCGTTACAACATCTGTACTTCAATCGAGGTTTTTGGGTGACAATATAAGACGACTAAGTGTTTGCAGTCCACTTAAATGACATTTTTCCTCAAAGTTATGACGACCTCTTTTACGTAGTTGTAATGTACACAATCCGTTAGTGCCTTCTAGACGGAAATTTTTAGGTGTATGCTATCCGCTATCGACAAATAAACGCGTGTAACTCTCAAAGTTTGCCCACACGTTTTCGGGATGTATTTGAATGCATTTTGTTAAACCAACTTTATTAAGATCGATTTTTTTTTTTGAAAATTGAAGCTTTTCGGTGCAGATTTGTAAGCATTTTAGCTAACACATGAATTCATTTTTAGAAAAATTACTTTAATTATCGATCTGCCACTTAAACTATCTAGACAATTTTGTTTTGGATAAGTACCAACATGAACTATATTTGATTATACTTTTTTTTAATATTCGACGACTTTAAATGTTTTTGGTGCCATCCCAGATGGCGCAGCGGTACTTACTCTAGTTGATTTTGGTTGACGTTGAAAAAATGAGTACAGGTTGGTTCAAGTAGCTGACCTGTCTGAAATGAGTCTGGCCAATTTTCCCCTTTTAAAACTATGCTGACTACGGTAGAAGTGAACAGATTGTCGAAACATTATATTATTTTGATCTACAAAGCCGCACTAATACTTCATTAGTGCTACATGGTAATGTAAACAAGATACGTTGCAAAGATAGAGTAGGCTTTATTGTATTTAACACATAGAACAATACTGAAAATCAAATTGTATGTCCCATTAGAATACTGACCTACTAAGATCTTCGCCCGCCTGAGGCTCTTGACCAAGCGATGAGTAGTTTAGTTTAACATTACGATTTGGTTTGTCGGAGTTTCCGTAGTCTAGAGAGAAGTGTTTATAATTTGATCAGGATCGCATTGCAGTGCATCGAAGGGCTTGACCAATATTCTTCTGCGGTATATAGCGGTTATATTCTGTTAGCTGACATGGGTTCGCTTATCATTGGTCGTTTTAGCATCAACCTTTGATTCTACGATTCGTTTGAGATGAGAGGATAGATGCGGTTCCGTTGAACTACGTCCTTCGCCGTTAAGCCGAATAAAAAACACAGTACTAATACAGTTTCTGGCCTGACTATACCGATTGATTAATGTAATTCTTACATCATCCGTTTTTATCGCTACTTTCTCTGGGCCAATTCGCAGATCGCAGATGAAATAAAGACAACGACTTGTTAATGTAATACTGGATAGAAGTCCTTCGGAATCGCTGCTTCTCGGAAAGTCCCCTTACATCGACAGCTCTGCTGCCCCTTCTCTTATGTAACGATAATTTGTCCGTCGGCGAAGCTTCGCTAAGCTATCCAAATACAGGAGATACATACTAAAGCACGTACGGTCGATTTAGCTTCGCCGCTAAATCCTGGGGCAGCCCCAGGGTAGTCCGAACGCGCACCGACATGTCAAACGATGGCCGGTACAGGCTGAAAGCAAGGACCCACGTTTCCAATATTCGCTTATTCATTCGTTCTTCTTGGCTTCTGGACCCTTCCGTTCATTGAAGCTATTCAATTGACATGTACAGTTTCGCCATCTTACCCAAAGTCAGCGTCCCTTGCCCAAGAGAATACGAAAGTCCACGCGTACGTATGCCAACACCCATAAAAACCAAGAGTATATAAATTCTCGGCAAACAATAGGCAGTATTCATCTGTTTTGGTGTTTGCTACAAAGCGAAAGCCAACGCTCCTGCTCCGAGAAACATGCGTCTCTTGACTCTGCTTGTTGTCCTTACAACACTGGCGATCTCGGTCCTAGATGCTAGGCATCTGATCGCGAAGAAAGTCGCTAAGAAGCTCGCCGTACCAGTCCTAGCTGGCGGCGCCGCCGGAGCTGCCCTTGGTGTAGGCGCCGGTGCTTTATTTGCATCTCAGCACGGCGGCTACAATTATGGACACAGCTATGGAGGGTGGAACAACTAGTGAGTGACCTTTCAAATTTGCCCTTAACTCCTTATGACTTGGCCTTGCTTTTAATTGCCTGCAATATAGATGTAGAGCCGTTTTTATTCGCACAGTTTCTAATAGTTGGGACAACAATGAGACCATTAATTGCCCTGCGCGTCACCTACCAGTGACTCATAAAACGTCGAATCGGTTCTAACTGCCTGCATAATTATAGCGACTGTTGGATCAACGTCCGGCTTATTTAACATAATAACGCAAGCTGCGTTTTTATTTGTTATTATTATTAGCAGGTCTTCTGAATTCCTTTACTAATCACATTTAAGTTTACGCATTGCAATTCATCTTAAACATTATAAGCATGTACTCTCAACATGGGCGCTGTGCAGTTAAGCTTTAACATTATCTATCATTAAAGTTGACCTATATATATAATATTAATTCAGGCTATTGTTAGACTGCTCTGAACACCGCGAGGGTTCGGTAAGCATATGTTGCAGCTTCTATTGTCTATCTTCACAACAAAACTGCTCACTCTTCTTGTACAACACGCAAAACCAATGGCTTAATTTCGAATTAAATTCCACTGCCCTTACACTGAAGTTCCGTGAGCTTGTACCGTACAAATGATTCACAGGTGAACGTAATACCATTCGTACTGATTTAGACGACCTACGAGTTAGTGTTATATCATAGCAGAGTGCTCTCTATGGTCCACATAATTCGGTAGGGGGCGAACGAATACAGTAAGGTTTGCCTTCAGAATGGTGCGCGTGTGGAAATAGCTTTCTACCAAGTTTCCAACATCTCTGATGTGCCTTATCATTTCTTGCCAACATAGATTGTTACTATCTGACCACATGTTATGACGACTGATCGATGGGCGTTTGCATCTCGTACAGGTAAAATAACAACAATAAAATTACTTTCCTTACATATGGCTGGCCATATGTTCGATGGTTCAACGAGGATTCGACTTGTATGTATAGTACATAGTAACTGATACAGTTATTATTATCATTGTTGTTGAATTTCTAGCGAAAAATAGCGCGTCATTATTTGCGACAAAGTAGCTTTTGATCGAATGCGAAATGATGAAGGAGAAAGTTGACTACTGCATATTATCAACAACGTTACTTAATTACGTCAGTAATTAAGTTAAATGTCAACTTAGCAACTCTTTAAAAATTTGCACCTACCATACTAATAGGTAATTAAATATAAAGCAATAGGTAAAAAACAGGCCATACAGATTTAATTGTTTTCAATTTGTGATTACAGTGGCGATGGATACGGTTACGGATGGTGAAAGTCCGAACAAGTTGAAGATTGTTCTCATCGTAGGGAAAGTTGAGACGTTTGACTCAAGATATTTCCACTTCTCGTCTGCTGTATTGACTTTGTCAATAAGCAAAGGCTAATTCTATCAGCGGATACGCTCATTGATTCCATTGCCTTCTGTTTTTTCCAGCAACATAATGTATATAAAAATTATGTCAATTTCCCTGTGTATATTTAAATAACGTTGTATCAAAATGTGTCGAAATAAACCACGTAACTATGTGGACTCGGAGAATCGTTATACAGTTAACTAGTTAAAATCGATATACGGAAAACACAACACAGTCTAATAAACACTCAGATAAAAACAACAAGTGAACTGAAATAAAACTAATTACCAGGAGATCTAGACTGCAATTCTAGTGAAGATGCACCAAAATAGTAAGGCATTAGAGAAAGGGTCTCTAGTCGGCAGTTAGAAACAACAATACAAGATCACACGATATGGCCCAGCACCATCGAAAATCGATCAGTGAATGATTTTCTTATTACTTAAGCAAACAAATTAGTTTGGATGTATGCAGGTCCAGCTCCTCTCGAAAATGTCCCTAATAAGAGAGGAAATCAAAGAAATATCGAAATGCACGCTGCCTAGCTTTTGTGGCTCTACACGATAGGCACAAAATTGGATTCCTGCCAAGGGTCGAAAACAATATCCGTTTAACGAAAGAGCTTTAACATGCGATAATATATGAAATAAATTTTAAAATTAACATCCGCACTGCTGCGCTAGCTAACCGATTGACTCTAGAGGGAAAACGCCTCGATAGGGTCGCATGGATATGGCGTGTTAGTTGTAACTGGAAGTCAGTTAGCTGATCAGAACTGAATACAGAGTCTAACAATTCCTGCAGTATAACGAGATTAATAACGCATGAAGCTAAGCTACCTCAATGAAGGCAGGCAAACGATCGAAGCAAAATAAATAAATTAATAAAATTATAGTAGACAACTGAAAAGCTGCAGCAGCTATTGGATTGACTAAAACGGTACAATAGGTGACTGACACAGAAAAACCAAAAAGCTGTGACGAGACCTTTCTAACATAGGACTCGGAATTTCTCACCAGCACGAATAACTCTTTGAAGGCTGCCCGTTGCGTGCTGGCAAAACCACTTGGAATTACAACGGATAACAAGGACAATTAACTATAGCAGGCTAATAGGAGTGCAAAACAGCTGGACGCTGAACTTAAGCCTTAAAGGCTGTAGTCCTTGAAACGATATGATATATAGGCGCTAGCAAGTGCAGGAAATTCTGCAATACATGCGAATGGCTTGTTATTATTCGTGTGAGTGTGGTCAGCTAGTGTTAGGACTTCGTAATTTTATAGCCTTATATATTTTCTCCACAAGTTCCTACTAGCTTGCAGATGCCCAGGATTTATTTAACTGCAAACCTACTTTTCTTACAGACACAGTAATAAACGGAACTCATTTTCTATTTATGAGCGTGTACAGAACCGCAGTTATCTCTATCACTTGTTGTTTAACTCGTTCGGCATAACACCAGTGTTCCTAACCCCTGAGATTGCTATACACACAACATCCCTAGTTATCCTGTTCCTCTAAAAGTAAACAATCCGAAATTAAAATAAAATTCATAAAGATAAGGACAAAAATAAATTTTCTACGTTTTTCTACGTGAAAATATCTTTTTTATTTATCATATTCACCATATTCTGTGTGTTCTCATCGAAGCTAATGATGTTCTGTTATCAAATGTGAGCTCTTTGTTGCTGATAGGATTATCTACCCAACCAAAGAAAGTGAATCAATTATTACAAAATGCTTTCTACAGCTGTTAAAGCCATCGGCTCACTAACGTACGGCACGACCGTGTTTTAGCATTTAAAGCTCTCCCTGTCAAATCGCTTAGCTTACTATTAGCTTCCTAACGAATTTCAAATGCTTTTTTTATGAAATAGGTATAATAGGCAAAAAAATATCAGTTTATCACACCTGCGTTACTTCTAGATAAATCTAGCAAGCAGCAATCGATTCTGCGTACTTAATTTAAAAGCAACGACACTCATGTCAGCTAAATCGGCTGACTTTAACAAAAAAACCATAACTTTCGGTACTGTTTCATATATTGGTACTCATATGTAGTTTTCCATGGAAGTGGTATAGATTTTCACCATTGATACCGCCCCTACACGTTATACCCTAAATCAAGTACACAAATTGATAATTACTTTTATAGAATACAGTGTCGTCGTCACCGATACGACCTGCGTTGCTACACGCACGTTTCGATGGCTTATTTTCTTATATCCGCACCATTGTATCCGTTTTCTATCTTTATTTGAACTATTCTAAGTAGCATTTGGTGCAACCACTGTTAGTATCCTATAACATATATATATATATATATAATATATATATATATATATATATATATATATATATATATATATATATACTTAGCAGCTCCCCTTTGTTCTTCATT